TCCCATTCCTGCAGACGGACACGGATCTCTACAGCGACTGTCTGAGGAGCTTCTGGACCTGTCCCCACTGCGACCTCCACATGCCCTTCACTCCCCTGGAGCGCATGTGCCACCAAAGCGCTTGCCGGCCCCCTGAGGGTGAGTCATAGAATCATAAAATCATAAAATGGTTTGGGTTGGAAGGGACCTCAAAGATCATCTAGTTCCACCCCCCCTGCCATGGGCAGGGACACCTCCCACCAGACCAGGTTGCTCAAAGCCCTATCCAGCCTGGCCTTGAACACCTCCCGTGATGGGGCATCCACAACTTCCCTGGGCAACCTGTTCCAGTGCCTCACCACCCTCACTGTAAAGAATTTCTTCCTAGTATCTAACCTAAATCTCCCCTCCACCAGCTTAAAACCATTGCCCCTTGTCCTGTCGCTACTCTTCTTTGTAAAGAGTCCCTCCCCAGCTCTTCTATAGGCTCCTTTCAGGTACTGAAAGGCCGTTATAAGGTCTCCCCGGAGCCTTCTCTTCTCCAGGCTGAACAATCCCAGCTCCCTCAGCCTGTCTTCATAGCAGAGGTGCTCCATCCCTCTGATCATCCTCATGGCCCTCCGCTGGACCCATTCCAACAGATCCATGTCCTTTCTGTGTTGAGGACTCCAAAGCTGGACACAGTACTCCAAGTGGGGTCTCACGAGTGCAGAGTAGAGGGGTAGAATCACCTCCTGGGACCTGCTGGCCACGCTTCTCTTGATGCAGCCCAGGACACAGTTGGCTCTCTGGGCTACCAACACCCCCAAGTCCTTCTCCTCAGGGCTGCTCTCCAGCCAATCTCCACCCAACCTGTAGTTGTGCCTGGGATTGCCACGTCCCAGGTGCAGGACCTTGCACTTGGCTTGGTTGAACTTCATGCAATTTGCACGAGCCCACCTCTCCAGCCTGTCCAGGTCCCTCTGGATGGCACCCCTTCCCTCCAGCGTGTCAACTGCGCCACCGAGCTTGGTGTCATCAGCAAACTTGCTGAGGGTGCACTCCATCCCACTGTCCATGTCACCAACAAAGATGTTAAATAATACTGGTCCCAGTACAGACCCCTGAGGAACACCACTCGTTACTGGCCACCACTTGGACATGGAGCCGTTGACTGCAACCCCTTGTGTGTGTCCATCCAGCCAGTTCCTTATCCACCGAGTGGTCCATCCATCGAATCCATGTGTCATGTGTGTGTGTCCCTTCCTTAGGGCTGGGACAGGGGACAATAGGGGAGAACCAGCCTGGATTTTCCCTGGGGATGCCACCCAGCGCCGTATTTTGGGGGTGCGATAGCAGAGGGGGTAGGAAAAGGGTCTTTGGTTTCCTTCTGATCCCGGTTTTTCTGCTTTTTTCCCTGCAGCCCCCCTGGAAGAACCCTCAGAAAACTCCTCCAAAACCTCTGCCCTGCACCGATCCTACCACTGCGACATCTGCCAGCAGGATTTCACCTTCACTCCCACCGAAATCCTCCGCCACAAGAAGCAGCACCAGTAACTGGAGCTTGCTGGGACTCTTGGTGGGATGCTGGCATCCTCCCCCATCCCTCAGGGACCCCCGGAACAGGGAGAAACCCCCCCTAAACTGCTACCTCCATTGCTCTTGGGTGAGTCTGGCTGGATCCCACAAGGGATTTGATGTTTTGGGGGCCACCAGCAGCTCATCTGTCATCCCCGGAAGGGGGGGGGGGCAACCAAATTTCAGGCCTTTTTAAAAATTTGGAATAAATAAGACTTTTGGGGCAAAGCGGCCCTGGCCCAGAATGTGTCACTGGAGGTTGGGGGGTTCCCCTGCCCCATGGGGGTGTGTGTCTCGGTTGGGGGTCAGCAACCCAGATGTGGAGGGTGTTTTTGGGGAGGGTCTCTTGGAGGTTTCCTGCCTGGTGCAGCACGGCCAGCGTGTGGCACTCCTCTCCCAGCGTTGTCCCCGCCGCAGCTTTTCCTGCTGGATTCTGTAGGAAAAGCACGGGAGGGGGCCGTGCCGGGGCTTTCCCACCCCCAGGATTCACAAAACGCCCCCCAAGACCCCCCACCCCCCCGAAATTTAAACTAAGTGACCTGAGTGTCCTTTTGGGGGGCCGCTCGCTCCCAGCGCAGCGCGAAGACGTTGAGACTTGGGGGGCCGCTCGCTCCCAGCGCAGCGCGAAGACGTTGAGACGTTGCCTTGTGCATCATGGCTGGCTCCGGCCCTTTTTTGGGCTGAAAACACTCAGAAAAAGGAAAATGTGGAGCGGCTTGCATCCCCCCTGCGCCCCGCGGAGGCAAATACCGTGACAACAGGAACTTCTCAGCTGTCTAAACCTATTTAAAATGCATTAATTATCAGCCTGTGCAGTTCATTAGGCTCAAGCGGTGTTATTAGCCAGGTCCCTTCAAATTAAAGCTATTTGAGGGTATTTTTAGCTCTGTGACCTGTTGTGTTTTGTTTGCCAGGTGAAGAAAATAATAAATAAGCGTGGTTGAGCCCGGCTTGTGACATTTCAGGACAAGGAGCTGCTCCGAGAGCAGAATTTCCTGGGATTCTACATTATTTATATTTACTAATGAATTGTGCCGGGGCTCGGCACACGCTGCCGCCCATAAAAGAGGTGGGAGAGGGGAAAAGAGCGCTTCCTCCTCCACTTTTTTCTTCTTTTAACTTGATTTTCCTCCCTTTTTGAATTCCCTTTTCCCTCTGTCCATCCATCCATCCATCCGTGTGTCCTCCCAGCCCCGGCCTCCACTTTTTGATTGGGTTTATCTGCAATTAATTATGGCTCGGGCACAAGGTAATTCCCGGCTGGTGGCATCACGGTGCTTCACTAATTAATTAAGTGGGCAATTTGCTGAGCAGATTATTTGCTTGGGAGCGGGGGGAGGGATGTTAATTTGAGCCCATCCCTTTGCCTGGTGCAATCCCCCCCCATTTTTGGGGTGCGGGGAGCGCCGTTGCCCCCTGGTTTAGCAATGTGGGGTGGGGGGGAGATGGTGCTCCCCACGACTCCCTGTTGCCATGGCAACGAGGAGGGATGGGAGATGCTCCTGCCATGGCAACGGGCATCAGATGGGTTGGGCTTTGCTGGTTTCGGCCCCAATTTTTTGCCCCCCCCACTCCCAGGACATTGAGTGACAAAGGGATAATTCAAGCCCTGGCTGATGTTTCTGGAAGCCAAATGTTGATCATAGAATAGAATCATAGAATTTCCCAGGCCGGAAGGCACCTCCAAAGGTCATCCAGTCCGACCTCCCCACACTCAGCAGGGACACCCCCAACTAGACCAGGTTGCCGAGGGCCTCATTGAGCCTCCCCTTTAATATCTCCAGGGATGGGGCCTCAACCACCTCCCTGGGCAACCTGTTCCAGTGCTCCACCACCCTCACAGTGAAGAACCCTCTCCTCATCTCCAATCTAAATCTGTTCCCCTCCCGCTTAAAGCCATTGCCCCTCGTCCTGTCACTACAGGCCTTTGCAAACAGGCTCTCCCCAGCCTTCCTGTAGGCCCCCTCAGGTCCCGGAAGGCCGCTATTAGGTCTCCCCAGAGCCTCCTCTTCTCCAGGCTGAACAACCCCAGCTCCCTCAGCCCG